AGTGAGGTCATACACTGGGTCCTCCGTGTCTTCTCAGTAAATCGGCAAACCTGAGGGTGGTCTTGAGGACCTCTGACCTTGCAACCAATAATTTTTAGCAGCCTGTGTCATTCAGGAGTGTGCCCAGGACTTGAGGGCTGATGCCTGGGTTTGTGGGCTCGCCCTCCTTAAGCATCCTTTGTGGTGTGTTTGCCCTAATTGCTGCCTACTCCAGACTTTGTCCTCTGATACCCAAAGCTTGCAAGGTGATGCTTTCTTTCCAAGCCCTCTGCCAGCCTGCACTGCAGGCAGGGGAGTGCGCCTCAGAAGCAGGAGCCTAGCGGGTTTGTGTTTCATGGATCCAGTGCCCTCTGGTTTCTGCCTGGTTTTGGTTTCCATCCATGCCTTGAGGGCACTGTGTTTAAATTACCCCTCCACCTCTGGCACTGGAGCCGTGTGTCTTTTGTGGTGTATGACTTAGCAGGACTCCCCCCCGCCACCCCACACCCAGCTTCGTTGAGCTCAACAGGAAATGGCACTGATGGAGAAGACGCTGGCTATACCTTCAGGAAGTGGCGCTGCCCGGGAAGAATGTGTGCCCCGGGGAATCAGGGTGTCTATTTTTATCTTACAGATGCTTCTCCACTTATAGTGGGATTGCCTCCTGGTGAACCCTTCATAAGTTGAAATAAAACTGCCTTCCGCACACATGCTGTATGGAGCAGCACAGCCCTCGCCGTGGAGAAGGGGTGGCTCTCCATATGATCTCGGGGCTGATTCCAGGGGCTGTGCCTCGCTGCTGCTGCTGCTGACATCCCAAGGGAGGGTCACACTACAGCGCAGGTAGCCTAAAGATCAAAGTTCAAAATCTGAAGTAGTTTCTACTGAATCCGTATCATTTTCTTCCCACAATAAAGCTGCAAAATCACGCCAGAGTCCTTCTCCACATAAAGTCTTCTTAAAACTTAAGGCACCTTTTCTTCTTCTTAGTTAAGACAGCGTTTTATATGGTTGGTACAGCTTGTACCTTCCTCATCTAAAGAGCTGTTGTGTTTTAAGTTACCACAGTTCTTTGCTATAAGCAAGATTTAAATAAACACATTGCTTTTCTCTGTAGTGACGCTTTGTTGTTCTGTGTTATGGGACCCAGACCTGAGAAAAGTTCTCAGCCTTGCATGCGGTTTCAGGTTTACCCCTGCAGCCTGCACCCACTCTTCTGGGAGGAATGAGATCAAGTAGAACCAACCAGAGCTGCTGCTGACACAGTCCTGCTGATGAGACAGTGTGCCAGACTTTTCCTGCTGTGATGGTTTTGCACCGTTGGTCTTTTTCTTGTAAGCCTGCCTTGCCGTGGTTTGTATTTTAACTGCAACAGCAGAGTTAGCCTTTCTCCCTTCTCGTCCTGGGCTCTGACTGGGTGGGTTTTTCTCCTGTGGATTTCTCTGTGTGTGTGCATTTCTCCATGCTCTGTCTGTGTTTCTGCAACCCTGAGTACCTGTCAGCGCATTGCTGTCCGGGGAATGTCAGGCTTGGTCCAAGGCAGGGGAGGCAGGCAGATGGGCTGTGTGTTCTGAACGGTCCTGTGGATTAATGTTACTGCTCTGCAAACGATTGGAGGAGAAGCCAGATTGTACTTTTTCCACATTTTGTTTTTCTGAATTGAGTTTTAGAAGGAAATCCTAACAAAAGAACTTTGGGTCGTTCATTATATGGACAGCTAAATTGTTAGGGTTTGGGCTTTCTGCTTCTATTTTCACACCACGTGTGATTATCGATCACATTATTGCAAAACAGTGTCTTGGGTGAATTGAGTGAGATTTTCAAGCCTTTCTTCATAGCGTTAGCTTTTAAATACTTAGTAGAGCTTGTCTGCAATTTTATACTTTACATTCTTCCATAAAGGCTTTATTTTGTATGAAACACTTTCCATTGAAGTTCTGCAACTCAAGGTGTACCTGCAAGTACCTTGAAAAAGACATGGGATAGGAAGACTTGGAGAAAGGGACTGAATGATTGATTTATGCGCTTGTCTTATAATGCTCCTTTACCACAGAGTACTCAGGAAGTATTTCAGGTTTGGTCTTCCAATACCAATTCATTGAACCCAAGTGACACCTTTTGGTGGAGATTAATTTACTTCAGCTTCTCACTTTGTAATGGGAAAAGAACATTTGTCTTGCAGTGGGGATGGGAACACCTCATGTCCCCCAGTGAGTCTGAGGTGAGTTTTTGGTACCTTGAGGTGTTAGTCGGCATAACGTCCACCCTCCACACTGTCCAGTGGAGTCTCAGGGACACCAGTGCCCTCATGGCCGTGGTGATGGTCTGTGTGTGGGCTCGGCCCCCTGCCTGAGCGTCTTACTGCTCCTTCACAGCATAACTCAAGAGTCAGCCAGCTGCAGCCTGTGGCTGACTCAAGGGGTGGTTTCTGCCATTTAAAACAAGAAGACTATTTTTTAAATTTTTATTAGTGCATGTTTGCATAATGTTTACATTCCTTGCATGGTGTTGATACATGTGCAAAGGGCATCTTAGTTCTTTTTTCACCCCTTACCCTCCACCTCCCATGATCTCTTGCTCCCCTTTGCATTTGAGAAGGACTGATCTCCCTACTTCCTATTGTCAGTCTTTTATTTTGGGTTCATTATTTTACAACACATTGAAATTACAAAATCTGAAGTTCATTGTCCACAGTAGTTTTTGGTTAATACCACCCCGTAAGCTTGAGTATCGTGTGTGTGTAAGCATGATGTGCACAGCACGGACCCTAGGCCTGATGTGTGCTCAGGGGTGGATTTTTAGTGATGTGAAAGAAGGCAGTGGTAGGCCCGGGAACGAGCCAGAGAGAGTGTTCAGACCTGTGGCCCGCAGCGGCCCCGCCAGCTGCACCTGTCCACTGCGGCTGAGGCTTGAGGTGTCGTCCTGCCTCAGTGTTCAGAGAGTGGCCGGGCCTGGGGCGGGGCTGGAGTGAAGGCTCCCAGAGCCGCTGGCCGTGGAGGACAAACTGAGGGACACGCAGTTAAGGGGGAAGGAGAGAGACCGTTCATCCTGTGCTCCCGGGCCGTCTTGGCTTTAAGGAAGTGGCCGGAAGAAGGGGTAACCCCAGCTTGGCGTGCACGCCTCTGCGCTGGAAATTGATTTAGGGGGAACAAACAAGCATTAAACACAGTTTTCTCATAAGAGAGAATCTCTTTATCCCATGCATTTAAAACTTTTAAACTGTGGCTGCCATGAAATTGATTTGTATGGAATTTTCCAGAAATACGTCTTTAAACTTAAATTGAAATGCTTGTACTCTACTCATCACAGTTCCGAAGAGAAGGAGGAGGGCAGAAACCACTTTAAAGGCTCTGCTTGCTCGCTTGTAGACTGTGGACTCGCTCACACTGATCTGACATTAATTTCTGACTCAGGAGATCCGTTAGGCATGAAATTTGCCTCCTGATGAAACAAGGCCTTTCTGTTCTTAATCCTTTCTGCATGGAAGCAATACTGTATGTTTAGTTTTAGGCTGTTCTATAGTTAGGGGTTTAATTCTCTGTGTCTCAAAGAGATATATTGGAGAGTTTGTCTTGTATTTTTGAACAAGTTGACCTACAGTTGTATTCAATCTGCGTGCATCATTTTGGAACATTAGAGAACTCGGTACACTGTCATGTCTTCAACATAACCCGTAACTTTGACAAAATGATACTGATGTTTTTGATGATTGATGGATTTAGACCAGTGCATCCTCACTTAGAGAGATGCTTCTTCTGAGACACAGTCACAACTGCCACACGGGAAGCAGGCTGATGGTTTTTACGTTAACCACAGGTGTCACAGCAGATTCAGGTATTTCTGCAGTCACACACGTGGCCATTGTGTTAAGTGTTTTTTCTTCGTATGAGTTATTAAAGATCTCATACATAGAGTGTTAAAGTGGTAGAATGTGTCACCATACTGACATCTTCTAAGGCAAAGGTGTGTGAATTTAAACATTTGATACAGGATGTAAGCCGGGCGTGGTGGCACACGCCTGTAATCCCAGCACTCGGGAGGCTGAGACAGGAGGATCGTTGTGAGTTCGAGGCCAGCCTGGGCTACGAAGTGAGCTTAAGGCCAGCCTGAACTGCATAGTGAAACCCTGTCTCAAAAAAAAAAGACAAAAAAAAAAAAAGAAAAAAAAAGAATGATACAGGATGTACCAATCATCACATTCAAAGGTTAATAGCAATTTCCTTTAAAGATGTTAGTAAAAATTAAAATGAAGATTAGAAGGTAAATAACCTAATCATCCTAGGCCATTTTATCATGACAGACTGCCTCTTTAGTTTTAACTGAGTGCTTCAGAGTAATATAGTACCCGCCATAAATTTCCTCAGCAAGCCAGTGCCGCAGCACAAAGTCCTCAGTCCTTCCCAGCATGTCACCCACTGCTGGTCACCCAAGGAGGACCCAGCACAAGGCTGCAGGCAGCTAGCACTGCGGCAGTCCTGATTGTGAAACTCAGTTCAGGTGGCGAGGCTCAGTGTAGGGTAAGAGGAGCTCCTTTGAACCACAAAAAAGGTGCTCCCCAGTGCATATCCACATTTGCTATTTTCATTGCTGATATTTAAAGTTTACTTGTACTTAAAGGAAGGATGTAGTTTTGAGATGAAATTATCAATTACATTTCCTGTCACAAATCATTATTGTAATTTTTAGAACGTATTTTGAACCCATACATAACCACATAAGAACTGTGCATGCAAATGGTGCCATGTAATGCTTTGACACATGTATTCGATCCACACATTCTGAGCGTAAAGTTTGAGCATTTTGTTTGACTTCATTTGAAGGAAATTGCTGCAATTCTAGGTGTCCTGTTACCATTTTATTTTCAGCTGATGGAGGCTGGGAAAGAGATCATTGTTGTGACCTGTGGTGCTTTTTATTATTTTGATGTTTTCTTATTAAACTTTACCTCTCTTAAATAATAAGGTTGCTTGGGTTTGTTGCTGTTATTTAACAGTTTTTTGGATTTTTTTCTGTACACACAGGTTGAAAGGATTGTTGACAAAAGAAAAAACAAGAAAGGGAAGACGGAGTACCTGGTGCGGTGGAAGGGCTACGACAGCGAGGATGACACCTGGGAGCCTGAGCAGCACCTGGTGAACTGCGAGGAGTACATCCACGACTTCAACCGGCGCCACTCCGAGAAGCAGAAGGAGAGCGCACTCACCCGGACCAACAGGACCTCTCCCAACAATGCCAGGAAGCAGATTTCCAGGTCCACCAACAGCAGCTTCTCCAAGACCTCGCCGAAGGCGCTCGTGATCAGCAAGGACCCCGAGTCCAAGAGCAGTGCGCTGCTTGCGGCCAGCCAGAAGTTCAGGAAAAACACAGCCCCCTCCCTGTCCAGCCGGAAGAACATGGACCTTGCCAAGTCAGGTATCAAGATCCTTGTGCCTAAGAGCCCCATTAAGAGCAGGACCGCAGTGGACGGCTTTCCGAGCGAGAGCCCTGAGAAACTGGACCCCGTCGAGCAGGGTCCCGAGGACACGGTGGCACCAGAAGTGGCAGCAGAGAAGCCCGTGGGAGCTTTGTTGGGCCCTGGTGCAGAGCGAGCCAGGATGGGGAGCAGGCCCCGAATACACCCGCTGGTGCCTCAGGTGTCGGGCCCTGTGACTGCAGCCATGGCCACGGGCTTGGCCGTTAACGGAAAAGGTGAGTGTGAGGGGGCACTGCCCGGGGCGTGGTCCTTCCCGGAGCAGGCCCTGCCTCGCGCCCAGAGTCCAGGGGATGGCGCCGGTGTCTGCTGGACCCTCAGGAGCGCTTGGCAGTTCCTTTCTTCCCTCGAAGCCTCCGGCGTTTGGCTGTGTGTGCCGTCCACAGCTGTGTCACCGTGGTGACCTGCCCTCAGTGGTGTCCACTCCTAGCAGCTGACGGTCTATACTGTTTTGTGGCAGGCTCACTTTGAAGCCGGCTGCCTTTCTGTCTCTCTCTGTTAGGCACGGTCTCACATTAAGAACCCACCTGCAGCCCTTGGTGTGGCAGTGTAGGTTTAGAAGCCGTGCTCCGTAGTTTGCACCCCCATTTGAATAACCAGGGAAGTGTCTTTAAGGGAGGGAAGCATTTGCCTCGTGGAGCTTCGGGGGGTCGCGCCTGCTGTGTCGTGTTTGCTCCTTCTTTCTGCGTGCGAGGCACGCAGCACCATGGCCTCGCTCTTGGCCCACCTGACTCTGAAGACAGCACACTTGGGGGTCCTCTCCTCGCCTGCCTCTGCCTGGCTGGCCACCTGCTTGTACAGCGTTCTGTTCCCGGTTTCCCTCTTCCAAGCCACACTGGCCCTGCCTCCCTTCGGGCCTTGAGATGTCTCACCCACCATGGCTCTCGTGTGTGTGTGTGTGTGTGTGTGTGTGTGTGTGTGTGTGTGTGTGTCTCTCTCTCTCTCTCTCCTCTCTCTCTCTAGAGATTGAGCTCGGGGGCCTTAGACCTGCTCAGCAGGCCCTCCACCCCGAGCCACACCCTGCCCCTGCCAGAGCTGTCCAGTAGCTCTCTCTGCTCCCGCCTTTTCCCAGCCCCAGCCTTTTTGTCAACGTCTGGAGCCCCAGCGCCGCGCCTCAGGCAGCAGGCCCGGGCACCAGCCCTCCCCTGCCTCCACCTCAGCACGGCAGCCACCCCGCTTCCTCGTCTGATTGCCAACTCAGCTTCGCCGTCTGGCTCAGAGGCCCCGCGTCCAGTCCCGTTTCTCTCTTGCCTCATGTTGGCTGGGACCTAACGTCTCCAGCCCCACTCAGTGGAGGAATCCGAGCCAGAAGGACCTGGTGTTGGTTCGATGAGGGAGCTGCTTTGCTCCCAGGATGTGGGTCACACAGCCTTGGTGCAGGGCGAGGTCAGGTGTTTATCTTGGGCTCGGTCCTTGCGTAGCAGCACAATCAGGCATAAAAAGAGTCTGCAGCTGCCCTTTGACAGGAGACACCTGTCTTGCTGGAACTTTCCAGATACACACTTGACCCACACGCTGCCATTCTTCCTGCTTTGGCTTCGCCCTCACCTGGGATGTGGGCCCTGGTCACAAGCATGTATCCCGTGTCTGCCTGCTTGTGGAAGCAGTGCTCATGGGTCGAGTTCGCCCTTTTTTCCCCACAATACTGTGACTTGAACCCAAGGCCTCACACATGCTAGGCATATGCTCTACCACCGCGCTAACCCCAGTCATATAGTTCTCTTCGCTGTGCAAAAATGGTCGCAGAAAGTTCAGAGGTAGAGTAGACTGTAAGTCACCCAGTGGCACATCAGGGACATCTGTATCCTTATTGGTGACACAGGACCAGGCACTGTGCGCTTGCTTGGCATCTGACATCTCCTGGACCCTACACAAACCTCTTCCTGGTTTTATATGGCCTGCAAGCAAAGAGCAGTTCTCACATTTTCTTACGACAGAAAAGGACCAAGAGGAATATTTACTAAGCCATTAAAATACAAGTCGTTGCAGCCTGTGTGTCCTGCGTACAGTTTGATTGGAGCACAGCTGCGTTCGCTCTTTCCGTGCTGTCCTGGCTGCCGTCCCGCCCCACAGGCAGAGTGGAATCATCCAGTGGAGGCGGTGGCTCCGAGCTGGCCGGCCCCTGCCATAAGCACTGGCATGCCTGGGCTTTCTCTTCTAAGGCTGGCAGCATAAAAGGCCTCAGGAGACCTGTGGGCCCCTTTCAGGTCTGACTCAACAAGACTATGAAACCGAAGTCTGCTTTTGATTGGTGTCAGCTTCCAACCCTACCTTCCCTGCTCTCTCCTGTACCTCCAGATCAGCTGCACCCCACTCGAATTCGCACGTTTGCTCTCACAGAAGATTGCATTCCTCCCTCATTCCTGTGTGAGGAGGGTGAGTCGCTCCTGACTTGGTAGCTGCGCATACGGCTCAGCGCCTGTTGTGCCGAGCATGGGCGAGGCCCTGGGTTCGGTCCCCAGCACAGCATGCTCGGGTACATATATCAGTCAGTCAGATTCTGGTTACATGAACGTCCGTAAGGGTGGCTTTATTAAACCGAAAGGGACCTGTAGGCCTAGGACCTTAAGTACTTTACCCCGGCCTGTGGAGGGCCTGTAGAGGGGTGAGGTTGGCAGGGGTGGCTGTGTCCCAGACCCTCTCAAGATGCTTTCTCCACGCTGTTGTCATGTCATACATTGCTTGCTCACTCCTCTGCAGCTGCTGGGTGTAGAGAGCCCGCCTCCTGTGTGCTGCTGGGATATAATCTCCACTCAAAGGGAAATGGCCATTTAAGAATATTTTTAGGACAATGGTAGCAGCCCTTGTAGTCCATATTGATACTAGGCTTACAGATTAATACGGAAAATAAGGGCACCTCCTCCCCTGGGGCCTCCCGTCAGCCTCTCCAGAAGGAAGGAGATGGTATCTCCAGCAGGGCATCCCCATCGGGGCGTCCCTGCAGACTCAGAGGTCAGCCAGGAGGTGGTGTTGCTCCCACGGTTAGTTACAAGCTTGGGGAAGGACACCTGCCTAGAAGGACGCCTGCTGCAGGCGGTCCCCTGCGCACGCCGGAAGTGGGGTGGGTGGTCTCTGCAGGTGAGGGTCGACCTCTGTGACCCCTGTTGCTGGCCTGAACCAGCAGGAGAAGGGAGCAAGAGGGAGGAATGGGGCCAGGGCAGACAGTCCAGCGAGCCACGTGTCATCTCTCCTGAACGAGGAGAAACGATGCTGAATTTTCGTGTGTTGTTGGTCCACACTCATTAGTTTTTAAGGCAGTTGTTTGTTTTTACTTTGTGGATTAATTTTAGAGCTGCATAAGGAAACTGATTTGTTTTTCTAAAACTGATTGAAGCAGATACTGATGACATCGTTGGGAAATGAACAACCTCCTGTTCAAAACATTCATCCTGTGCACCAGGGTTATATTTGCCACCAAAAACAACAGAAATTTGAACTGTGAGCCAAAAAGAGGGAGTATTTCTGAGACATTTTAACGTGTATAATGGCTTTTGTAGAACAATGGTGTATGCGTTCAGTTTTTAACTGAAACAGTTTTGAAAGATGAATATCTTGCTTCACTCAGAAATTAGGGAAATTCAGAAATGTCCCTGATGCAGTTTATTTCTGCTCCTCTTTATCAGGAAGCTGATATCTTGACTCTGTTCTTCATGAACTCAAGTATATAACTGGCCATCATTCCACAAGTAGGAAATTTGAGAAAATGCTATTAGCAAACTTAAAAAAGGAGGAGATGTGAACCTCACCAGCGCAGTCAGGTGGTCGTGGCTGTCAGACATTGCAGTCAGAGCCAGCAGACATGGTAGGAAGGCGAGTGAAAGTCTGTGAGCACATTCTCCATCCCAGGGTCATTTCAAGTGGACGCCCAGGAGAAGTGGCTCAGGACAGCTAGGCTGCTTCTGAGTGTGATTTCTCCTCAACAAGATTAGGAACAGAGCCAGGCTTGGTGGCACGTGCTTATAATTCCAGCACTCAGGAGGCTGAAGCAGGAGAACACCTCCAGGAGTTCAAGGCCAGCCTGAACCAGTAGCAAGACCCTGTCTCCAAAAAAAAAAAGCAGGAGCAGAGGCCCCAGCTCACTCTTCTCTGTGGTTATCAGGGAAGCGTAATTGCAGTATGAACAACTAGAAAGGGGCCCCTGGCTCCATAAGGCCATGCAGGGTGTAAGGCTCTGAAATGAACCCCAGGAAGGCTAGGAAGTTCGGGCCCCAGTGTCCAGCAGTCCCGCTGTGCATAGGACCACAGAAGGAATGTCCACTTGAGAAGAGGGATGTGGGGAGCCAAGTCAGTACAGACGGCAAGGGAAAGAGTGTGTGTGAGGGTTTGCTCAAAAAGCCGTCCATCTGAAACCAGCAAGTGTGAGGCACTGCCTGTGCAGTAGGCTCCTCCCCAGACCTTCTGCATGTGTTTCCGCACCAGGAACACAGCTGCTTAAACGGGGAGAGGGCACAGGAGCCAACGCCCAAGCCGGAGGCCAGTGGGCCTTGGAGGCGGGCAGCACTACAGCCTTCTGTCTCCTTCCAAAGTGGTTCATGGGTTCCTGTGGGCAGCACGTGCGCGCCCCCCGGTGGCAGATGGGTGCCTCTGCTCCCTGAGATGCCCTGCTGGCCCTCAGATCAGGGTGCTTAAGGATCCAGCGCTGTGTCCTTGCTGGACACGCCTCTTGCAAAGCCACAGCTGGGTGAGTGTGCTGCAGTGCAAAGTGGGCTGTCCTGAGCAACTTCGAAGACATCAGTCCGTAACCATCTTGAAATGTAGAAATGCGCAGTTATTTGCCAATCGCTGATGTCTAACCAAGGCCTTTAAAAAGGTGTCCTCAGATCTGCCACTTGCTGGAGGAGCCAGGGCCTTGAGTGCGGGTCCACAGATGGTGGGCTGTTCTGTGTAAAGCATATGCGTAATGCGTTGCTGTCTCCAGTTTGGGGTGCTTTAAAGTGCAGTGAGTATGTAGCTGCTTAGATGTCTGAGGGCATCGTCCGAGGTTTTGGTTATTTCTCACACCTGATTTAACAGTTGTTTTTAGCCTAGAGCCTTTCCAAGGAATTCAGAGTAGTTTTTATTAAAAGGTAAGCTTCCCTTCGGTAACTGTATCTCCTGTTTTATATAAGAAAGAGTTTGATGTCCCCAGCTCAAGTAGCCGAAGAAGTATGGGAGGAGCAGAACATTTCCTGTCCTCCTGGTTTCTGGCATTTGGGGAACTGTGAATTAAACTGAGAAA